GTACTGAGGAGTGTATGACAACTAAATTAAACCAAAACATCAAAGATTGAAATAACGTACATTATCCTCCTCGTCACTATCTTGTTGTTGTTCAACTTCTTCATTGTTTGGAGAAACATCCCTGACTTTTTTGAGATCGACAGACCGCCAATTTAGTACATCTTTGAAGCTTGTCCTGGTAGTAGAAGAAACACATTACTGAACACCACACCATTGAACAAACTATCTATCAAAAAGTCCAATTAAGCAAATATGGTGAGGAAGGGATGCACATCGAAAAGCTTGCAAGGAAAATGGTACAAATAAAGAGACTGTAGTATGACATTGAATCACTTTTCAAGCTTACTTCTCTATTCATGAGCATCCCGTCATAAAGCATTTTTCTGCTTCAGCTTCATTACCCATAATCTCTATTTGTCACAGCCCAACTATCCAAGGATGAAAACGATACTTCAAGGCCTCAAGATCAAACTGGTGTGGCTCTTGCACACGAATATGAAAGTACTGGTGCGAAATTAGCCGGCAGCATAGAAAAAAGAGAAGAACGTGCCGAAAACGCAATGGTTGAACTCGTGCACATCTTCGTAACGCGAGTGTGCTATGGCAACAAAACTGCCCCGAAGAAGAGAGTGTGAGGCTGGATAGCGCAACAGACGAGAGGCAGCAAACCACAGCCAGCTGCGTACAGGGAACGCTGCAGCTGCTGCAGCTACCTTTGCAAGGCTCTAGCGCATATCTGGAGATTTTCAAGGACAGAGTGCCATATCTGTGATTGTACTCTAGGGGTCTATACTGCAGACCGAGCGGAATCCGTTCAAACGACTTCTGCTTGGTTCGTGCCCTTAAAGCAGCAACCCCAGAGAGGCGGTGTCGAAGAATCTATTGCGGGGTGAGACAGAGTAGCCTATGAGTTTAACAGATATGCCCTTGTCGCGCCTCGAAAGTGCGCGACAAATGTGCGAGGGCCTCACAACTAATCTATGGCGGCTAATGTCAAGTTGCGGCCGAGACACCTTGCACCCTCCAGCATGCAACGTGGTTTACGACGAAGCGGGTAAGATAGCCGATAGGTAGATAGACATGATAGATCAGTGCATTGATGCGCTCAAAAAAGACGTCCAGACACGTCCTTTCCTCGCTATCATTATCAACCGCTGTTAGCTCACCAATTCGATCAGGGGTAGTTGCTTTAAATGGCGAGGAAATCAAATGGCACAAAGGTCTCAGTAAAATTGCTGTGCTTGAAAACTGTGAATTGTTTCGGTATCAAAGTGAGCTTTATAATGTTTCTGTTCCGAAAAAAAATTGAATAGGGACGCTACCGATCTGAGAAGTAATTGTTTTTTAGAAAAGTATGTGCCTTGTTCATCTACGGCACAGCCTCGTTCACTTAAAAATTCACGCTTTACTGGTATGACAGCCAGAAAACGGACTGAGCAGTGCTAAATACTTTTCAAAAAAATCGCCAATCTTGCTAATACAGGTGCGCGGCCAAAAGTGTACGGACCAGCGATTACGCACTATTTGAACCACTATTCAAAGGTGCTGTTTACTGCTGCGCTCATTTTAATTTTGTTTTGTTGACCTGCTCATAATTATCTTATTTAACCACTCAATATGTATGATTGTTACGATGGCTGAGTGATTCTGCCGCTATTTCTAGATCACTGAACTTCAACTTTGAGTGTTTGCGGCACGCAAGAATTATCAGCGTTTTGGTTTTTACCTGGGTACCAATCATGGATCCACTAAACGCTCCAAGGAGTAAGGAACCGAATGCACTCATTCTGGATGGGAAGGCTGTGTTTCCGAGACGGCCACGAGCAATGTCAGCATGGTGCGCAACAGAATTTGGTGGCACTTCGCGCACTCGTTCCGCCGAATGTCACGAGAGATGGACATTAAGGAGATTACTTGAGAATTCCCAAGCAAATTGCCATCTAAGAACACTGTAGAATTGATTCTGCAAGCTGAAACTTGCATGGAACTTTACATTTTTGGGGATTATTTTGAAGAATTGCTTCAGAATACGTAGAACGGATTCTACGCACTACCTTGCGTGCCACCGCCGATGGTTCCTCACTGCTTCTCAAGGCCCGTATAAGTGCCAACGAAGGAATTTCTGAGATTTGGCAGATGTTTACGATTCATTATTGAACAGTGAACGTTACTGCATTTTTGGCTTCCTGGAATTGTGGCGTGTTCATTCTAGGCGACTCGAAATCGCTGTCTCCGTAATTTTGGCGCACCCTGTAATTTCCAAAAAAAATCGCACCCGACTCGGTTGGAAACAACCTACCTTGCGCACCCTCTTCGCTGTCTTCATCATCGTCAGAGTTCAGCTCGGAAGAAAGGGTACTTTCGATAGCATCATCATCGCTCTAAAAAGAAAACATTGGACCACAACAAAATATCAAACTGAAGAACCATAGTCGAGTAGTGGACTACAATGAATCGTTGAGAGGGGTACGCGATCGCATATGCTGATCGCGCGAAACACTCAGTGATTGTCATGCTACCTCTACACCTCATGCTGCTTCTACACTTTCGAATTTGCCTGTATTGGAAGCGATATGTGATTATATTTTGTGTATGTGATGCAAAAAACACTACAAAAACACCTCGCTATCAAGACATCACTCCTACCTTCTTTATCATTTCTAGCCTAAATATTTGTTACCCCACCCATGTGTTCTCTCCAGCCAATCTTTTTTTACAGAATTATTTGAACCTACTTCGATTTCATCATCACGTTCAGCCTTCTCAAGACGGCTTTCGGAAGCATCCCAATCTTTCACTTCATCCTCCTTCATCGGTACACCTGACCTTCCATATTTGATTAAGCGCCAGTGGAACGAACAAATGCCTTTGTGGGGATCCTTAAAATACATCTTTTACAAAAAAGATTGCTGAAAGAGGCACAATATTTCCTGGATAAAAACATGCCTCATCCGAAACAGCGAGGTTAAGCTTTTTTGTAACGGCCATCCTCTCGAGAACATTCGTCAGAACCCTTTCCGAACGTCTTCGATTACATCGCATAAAACCGTGTGGGAACCTTGCCGCTAGACAGCATCTTTCGCTAGACTAAAGAACGATTTTTCGATGGTGAGCGCAATGCTAAGTCATATTCGAAAACCCCATATTCAGCACTGATAAAAAGAAGCAAACGTACTGGTAAACCTTCAATCCGTTCGCCAATCTGCCATTTTTCAGCGTACATCGGTTCCTCCTAAAAATAATCAGGAACTAAGATTTTCAAAGCGTGGTCCACGAACTCAGTAAACAGTTTACTGGCTATGGCACTTAAAAAAGAAACACTTCTGATACATCGTAACAAAAGAGGAACACAGGCAGACTCACCATTCTTTTCTTTTCGCGTTGCTTTCGAATCGAATAGTCAGAGTTGAAACGAGGATATCGATAAATATCACGCTTCATTTGCTCTAAAGATGCCCTAATCTGCTTTCTGAAATCCTGGAACTCCTCAAAAGACATACCTGAAACAATGGTTAATAGGGAGAGACAAACGAAAGAAACGACAACAAAAATCAATTGTTTGAGTGCACTCGAAAAGTTCGAGGTACACAGGGCTATTTGAATGTGCGCTTTTATTTCACGCCTCACGAAAGCATTGCGTGTAAACTGCGGCTCCAACGCACGAGACGTCGAGGGAAGCTGGCCGTAAAAGGTATGCTTCCCCGAAGGGTTAGGGGACGAAAGTTCCTTTAAATTTTCTCTGTAGTCCCAGTGGTACGCACAATGTGGGGAGTCGTTTGGTTCACCCCCACCCCCTAGACTGCCTACACTCCCCCTGGCGCACAGGTTTCTTGAAGTACGGGACCCCGTAAGCCAGGGGGAGTGAAGGCAGTCTAGGGGGGTGGGGCAGCCACTTGACGTTGCATCACAATGCCCCCCCCCCCCTTACTGGATGAGACCCTGCGTTTGGGTGCGCTGCTAAAGAGTGGACGTCGCTAAACTCAAATTTCTTTCGGTAGCTTCTCTCTGAGGCAGTTTCATCTCATCCACCAATTTTTCTTTTGCCGAACGGGAGGAGCCATGAAGCGTTATGAGCGAAGAGGAACTGTGGTTCACCACCAGGAGATCTCCTACTCGTTGAGTTTTGGGTTTTCTAAAGACCACCGATGTCGCGGCGCATACCCCCTTACCAAATGAGAGGTGCCTTAATGAAGCGGAGTAAGCGTAAGACTTTTGGTGTGCGAGGCGGGGTCAAGCGTGCGTAGAGTAACCCTCGACCAAGGAGAAATTCACAGTAAGAGAAGGTCAAAGAAAATGAAAATTGCATAGAGGGTGACAGGCGTACCTCCTGGGAGTGCTGACTGACGCGTAATTGGCAACGAAAGATTTGTCCTCGGCGATTTAGCATGGCTCACTACGCGGCACAAAGATGCGAGCCGCATCTATGCGCAAATCACCGGGCAAGAAAGGAGTCCCATTTCTCGGGATTAGGGTCTTTTCAGATGGTTTCTTCTTCATCCCTGACCACCTCTCCCTTATTTCGAATGAGCTAACTTTTCATCGTAAATCCTGCCTTTATGTACAGTGCGAAGGAGGGGGCCGTAAAAGTCGCGATCTGCAAAGGTCAGCGCAGCGGTAGCTTGTTGGGGTAGATGGGAATCACGACTCGCGCCAGATGTCGAGTGCACGGCTCGTTCCTGACCGAGTTTGACCAATGGCATACACTTCAGTTCCCGTTCCCTGTAGAGGAGATGTTAGTTTGATGGGCATCGAGAAATCCCGGAAGAACTGCTTCAAACGACAGAAGCTTCAAACGACAGAAAGGAACCCACTACACGGCGAAGAAATGCAATTTTCAGCGTTGACTTCATGAACGCATAACCATTCATATTGAGACATTGTTGTAATCGCACTTCTTGGGAGGTGGGAAGCTTGTCAGTTCCAAAGCCCCTTTTCTGTACAAAATTGTTCACGAAAGAAGCTAGGTAAGTCGTTCAAGGACTAACAACGCAGCAAAGGAATCTCTCGGCGTTATTCGGACAAAAATCCTCGACGGGAGAATTTTTACATAGTGAATGTACCTAATCATTCTAATACTTTGTAAAGAGCTAGTCTTCTATGTAGCTTGAAGGCGGATTTTTCGATAAAAACGTAGCTGACTGGAAATAACTGGTAGAGGTGGTCAGTGGAGCAGGGATGAAGAAGAACCATGTGAAACGGCCCAGAACCCGAGAAATGGGACCCCTTCCTTGCCCGTTGATTTCCGCATTGATGCGACTCTCATCGTTGTGCCCTCTTCAACGCTACGCTCTCTCTGCTATCTAATCACTCGCCACGTATAGACCTGCGGCGAGTGATTAGATAGTCGGTGGGCGTTCCCCAACTGCGCCAAAGGAAGGCCATGCTAGATCGCCGAGGCATATCTTCGATGCGAATTGCGTGTTGGTCCGCACCCTCAGGGGTCCGCCTGTCTCTCCACTAGGCAAGTTTTCCCTTCTTCGACCTTCGTTCTTATCGTGGAATCCTCTTCAAAGCGCTATATTAACTTCTACGATTTGATGCATATTGTGGGAATTGAATCTCTCCGGTGGTGGTGTGCCTCATGCCTAGGTTATGTGCCACGCGAACTCATCAGGACCTTCACCTTGGATGTTTCAGAAGCTCAAATGCGCAACGGGATAATTAAGTAGGAATCAAAATAGATCAACGACCAAACCCAACGATTATGCCTTACGACAATTTTAAGAAGAACCTTGCAAGGAGCGCGGTAGGCAAGATCAGCGCTACGTTTGCCCCAGTCTTTGCTACTGATCGGGCACTGAGCTATTGGCTCAATAGCATCGGCAAATACGATAGGAGCTGCAAAGTTCGACCTCATCATGGACCTCCAGTCACTTTCGATGAGGACCCCTTGC